AAGTGTAGGTTCCTCTCCTCATTGAGTGCTGGCTATAGATTGTGGTTTGGCACTCCTGGGCTGCCCACTGCAGCTCTAGGTACAATCTCAGTGTTTACGTTCCTTCCAAAACTTGGAGACGAAAGAGAAAAAGACATTAGTAGTTGTTGTGACCAAGGGTCTTTTGTTGTCTCCTGGGGTCTCCATCCCCAGAGAGATGCATGTTAGCAATCGTTCAGTCCAGTGAGCCCAGGATGGAGGGTCTGTGTTTGGGGCTCAAGCCAGGAGCTCCGTGTCTGGTGATGAGCAAGGTGGGGGTGAGTTGGACCTCTGGGAGATGGAATGGCCTCTTCTCCTTGGGTTGACAGCAGTTTGTTAGAGGTATGGATAAGGCACTTAGGGTCTTTGCTCCTTCATTAGTCTGAGGGTAGGAAGGGCAGTTCTACAGAAGAGGCAGTGGCAGAGAGATTTTCAGTTTTCCCTGGGGGCTCTGTCCAGGGAGTTACAGATCTGCTACCGGCTCCATAGCTCTGGTGGATGGTGCCTGAAGGACCAGGCCTGGAGAACCTGCATGGTAAGGAGATATGGGAATGGGCACCTACATAACAGTCCAGGCACTTGTCCAGAGGGCTGCTGTGGTATGCTGAGGGCCCACTCTTTTCCCCAGTCACCTTGGATTTTTTAGTAACTGGAGGTATCAATGGTGAAGGCTGTGAAACAGCAAAGATGGTGGCCTTCTCCTCCCTCTGGGAGCTCCATCTCAGGGAGGTACGGGCCTGTTGCCATTCAGAACACACCTGAAGGAGGTGGTTGGAGACCCCAGTCAGAAGGTGTCAACAGTGAGGAGGAATGGGATCAGGGATCTGCTTTAAAAACAAGTTTGACCACATTTTCATAGAGCAGCAGTCACTTGCTGGGGGTCTACTTTAGCCCCTGGTCGCCTCGCACCCTTCAAAGCCCGAAGGCCTGAACAGCTGAGTTGCCCAAACAGCAAAGACAGTGGCTCACCCCTCCCATCTCAGGTAGGTTGGAAACCTTTGTCAGCCGGAGAACACCGGTGGGGATAGCTGGAGACCCCAGTTAGGAAATCTTGCCCAGAGAGGAGGAATGGAATTGAATACCTCTTTAAAAAGCAATCTGGCCACATTTTCATAGAGCAGCTGTGCTGTGCTGGGGGACTGCTTCAGCCCACAGTTACCTTGGACTCTCCAAAGTCCAAGGGCTGGAAGAGCTAGGTCACCCAAACAGCAAAGATGATGGCCTGCGCCTCCTTCTGGGAGCTCTGTCCCAGGGAAGTTTGAAGTCTCTGTTGGCCAGAGAGCACTGGCAGGGGTGGCTGGAGACATCAGTTGGGAAGTCTCACCCAGTGAAGAGGAATGGGATTGGGGACCCACTTATAAAAGCAGTCTGACTATTTCTCTTTTTCTTTCTTTTCTTTTCTTTTCTTTCCTTTTCTTTTCTTTTTTTTTCTTTGACAGTCTGGCTCTGTCACCAGGCTGGAGTGCAGTGGCACAATCTCGGCTCACTGCAACCTCTGCCTCCCGGGTTCACGCAATTCTCCTGCCTCAGCCTCCTGAGTAGCTGGGACAGTCTGACCATATTTCACAGAGCAGCTGTGCTGTGCTGGAGTACTACTTCTGCCCCCAGTCAGCTGGTGCTCCTCAAAGCCCAGAAGCTGCAATGGCTAAGTCACCCACCCATCCTTCTGGGATCTTTATTCCCAGGAGGTTTCAAATCTTTGTCAGTTGGAGAACATCAGTGGGGGTGGCTGGAGATCTCAGTTGTGAGGTCCTTCCCAGTGAGTAGGAACGAGATTGGAGACCCACTTTAAAAAGCAGTCTGACCTTGTTTTCATAGAGCAAATGTGCTGTGCTGGGGAATCCCTTCAGCCCCTGGTTGACTTGGACTCCCCAAAGCCTTAAAGCTGGAATGGCTAAGTCAGCCAAACAGCAAGGATGGCAGCAAACTCCCCTTTGGGAGCTCTGTCTCAGGGAGGTGCAATACTGCTACCTGTGGCTGACTGGAATTCCAAACCATTGGGTCTTATCCTGTGGGGTGCCATGGAAGCTGAGCCTACAGACTGTTGCTGCTCAGCCCCCTGGATTCAGCTCCTTTCCTACAAGTATGGGGGCCTAACCTCTCACTTTGTTAGAGTTGCAGCTACTTTTGCTGGGAAGCCTGGAAAGCCTGTGTATCTAAGGCTTTTGGGTCTCTGTGTGTGCCGGAGCAGCTGCTCTGTCAAGACGCCATGTAGCTCTTATGTGAGATCGAAGACCCTGGTGGAGTGGGCTCACAAGGTGAATCTCCTGACCTGAGAGTTGCAAAGATCGACGGGTGAAGTGTGGGTTCCCAGGGTCTCACATTCACTCACTGGTTCCCTGGATGGGGGAGGTTCTCTGGGTGGGGGAGGTTCCCTGGCTCCATGTCACTCGCGATAGGTTGTCGTCTTGCCTTCTTGCCTTGCTTTTCTCCATTCTCTGTGGGTTGGGTTGTTTCCTTGATTAGTACCAATAATGTATGTACCTGGATGTTTCAGTTGAAGGTGCTGTATTTACTCATTCCTTCCATTCCTCTCCATGAGAGATGCACACACTAGTTGCTTCTCTTATAGTCAGTCATCTTTCTTTAATTGTTCTTTTTTGATTTTTATTATTTTTTCTTTTGCCTCCTCTGACTGTACATTTTTTATGAAATAGAATTTTTATACTGGTATGCTTTGTAAGACTATTGATTTGATTATTTAAAAGATGAGATATAACATAATTATCTTTAAAGTAATTTTAATTTTCATACTGAGCCTAACACTCCATACTATAAATTATCAAATTAGTTGTAGCTTTCTTCCTTTCATTTGTGCATTAGTTTCATGCAAGCCAATTAGCTCTGGGATAACAAGAGGGTACCTTGAATAAAGTTCAAATTTAAAAAGATATTTTGCAGGAGATAATTTTTTTCTTTCATTTGCACACTTTTATAAGAAGTGAAGATATTGAAACATTCAAATGTATCTTTTAATAAATAAGATTTTCCCATTACCCACTTTATCTCAGGATAAAATAATTTGAAAGTAAGGTAAATTCTTTTTATGGTTAATACTAAATTTTATGGACTAATGATTTACAAGGAGATTAAAAATTTCCACTATTGCTACCTTAATACTTTAGTTATTCAGGATGTGGGTGTTTTGTTAACTGAATTTTTTGGTTTCTTGACTTTTTAAGTGTAGCAACAAAACTCCCCAAATATTAGAAATGTTTTGACTCTTGACTCAGCTAGTTATTTTCAGAAAGAGATGTTATCTAATGTAAATCTACCATTAGAACCAACCAATTAATGATGGGGTCAGTGTACTCTGAAGACTTCATGGCACACTAGTTGAAAGCTATTATTGATGTTAGCCAAACAGGAAAAAAATCTAGTGAGAAAAGAAATTGCATTCCTCAAATACAGAAACCTTAAAACATTAGCATGCTATGAAAATAGTGTTTGAAAAATTGAAAATCAGCTAAACTATACTTATTTAACAAAAATCCCTGATAAAATTTGCTGCACTTGTCACAAAAAAGTAACTATAGGAGAGAATAGATGTATCAGTGTGCTTCATATTGATCTATTTTACTGTATTTTACTATCTATATGTATCCTATAACATCATGTTGTAAACCTCAAATATGTAAAATAAAATTTACTTTAAAAATTTAAAACTAACATAATTCCTAAAATCAACAAAAATAGAAATTATTTAATGTTGAAGAACTCTTTATCTTAATAAGTAAAATGTATTCTCACCCTGAAATAGAAAGCTGACAGGCCACTATATTAATTAAAATACGTGGTTATCTGATTTAGAAGAGTCCTGAAAACATGATTTTAGTAGACTTGTCTGTCCTTCAATAAGTTTTCACCTCTGCCTCATCCTGTCACGCATGACTCTTTAACACAAGCAACCTGTGTCAAAGTGGCACATAAACGGCTTCAGAGAAGCAACTCTAGAGGGCAGAATTATCCTCTCAGTAATTAGATTGAGCCCCTTGGCTGAGCCTCAAGTATTGCTTTGGGACACCATTTCGCTAGCATGTCCTGGGACTTGTAACACAATACAAAAGTCAAACATGGCACTATTGTGTCATGTACCCATTGTTAATTGAGGTTGAGATTGATGAGGGATATTCTTATGTGTCAAATAAAAATTTGTTTAACTATATGATTTTCCAGATTGTTATGGTAAGAATTTAGAAATTTGGTTCTTTTAAACTCCAAGATCCTATCTACTATTTGACTCTATATTATCAAATAGCAATCTGGAAAATCATATAATTAAACTAATTTTTATTTGACACATAAGGCTTGCCAGAGTTCCGATTCTGATTGCTGGAATGGGCAATTCTCTTTTGGCTAGGGTTGGTTTGAGTACTCCATCCATGGGTGCATGTCAGCGAATTTCAGCGCGATTATACGTTCTGCTGTGAGTTCAATGCAATGTCTCAATTGCTGTGCTGTCCCTCTCCCAAATGCACAGATTCTCTCTATTCACCATGTGGCCACTACCCACTACCAAGGAATAGTGGAAAAATGGTATCTGTTATTCAAGACTGTCTTTCCTACCCTCATCAGTGCCTCTTTTTGCAATATGAAGTCAAAATCACGTACTGTGAGTGCTCACCTGATATTTCGTTATTATAAAGGTGCTTTTTGTGTGTAGATAGTTGTTAAATTTGGTGTTCTTGTTGTGGGGGCGGTAATGATAATCAGTGGAGCTTTTTATTTGTCCACCTTGTTCTGACCCTCCTAGACTAGTTGTAGACATACAGAAAAATTGAGCAGAAAGTACAGGGTTCTCAAATTATAACCCCCACACACATAATTTCTCCTATTATTACTATTGTATGTTAGTATGAGACATTTGGTACAATTAATGAAAAGATATTGACACATTATTATTAATTAAAGTTCATACATTTTTTTCAGATTGCCTTAGTTTTTATCTGTTATTCTATTTCTATTTAAGATCCCAACCAGGATACTACATTACCTTTCGTTATCAGGTATCCTTAGCCTCCTCTTGACTGTGGCAGGTTCTCAGACTTTTGGTTTTTGATGGCCTTGACAGTGTTGAGGAATACTGGTCAGGTTTACTATAGCATGCCCCTTCTTGGGAATTTGTCTGATGTTTTTCTTACAATTAGACCGGGTTCTAGAATTTGGGGAGGAATATCACAGAGGTAAATTGCATGAGTTTACAATGACTTACATTCACCTGGACAAAATAGATTTATCCATGTAAAGTTATTCTACCACCTCTACTCCCATTTTTCATACTATTGTCTTTTGAAAGATGGCACTATGCACAGTGCCTACTTAAGGTGTGGAGCATCTACATACAGTCATTTCTTGGTATCTATTGGAGATTGCTTCACGTATCCCCATTATACCAAAATTTGGATGCTCAATTCTCTCATATAAAGTGGTGTAGTATTTTCGTATAACCTATATACATTTTCCTGTATACTTTAAATCATCTCTAGATTACTTAAAATATCTAATACAAAGTAAATGTTGTGTAAATAGTTGTTCTGTTATATTGTTTTTATTTGTTCTTTATTTTTAAATTATTATTGTTCTAGGCTTTTTTTTTTTTTAATCCATGGTTAGCTGAATTAATTCATGCAGACCCTGTGATATGGAGGGCCAACTGTAGTTTATTTGGAATTCTGTATGATTCTTCTTGATCACATTTGAAATTCTTCCATATACATTTTAAAATCAGATTGCCAATTTCCACAAAAATTTCTGCTGATATTTTTGTTACAATTGAGCTGAATTTATAGATCAGTGAGAAGAAAACAAACATCTTAAGTGTTGAGCCTTCCAATTCATGAACATAATATATATCTCCATTTATTTGTCTTTATTGACTTCGTTCATCAGTGTTTTATACTTTCCAGCATATAGATCTTATACATGTTTTAAAAAGTTTATACTTAAGAATTTTACACCTTTGGTCATATTGCACATGGAACTGATTTTAAAATTTTGTTTACATTTGTATGTTGCTTATATATAGAAATACACTAGATTTCTATACATTGACCTTATACCCTTTAACATTGCTAAATTCACTTATTTCTAGTAGCTTTTTGAAGATTCCTTGGGATTTTTTACCTGAGCAATCATATTGTCTGGTGATAGGAACAGATTTACTTCTTTTTCTCTTCAGTTGCCTTTTATCCCTTTCCTTGCCTTATCGAATTGCTAGATCTTCCTATATAACGCTAATTAAGAGTGTTGAGAGTGGATGTTCTTACATTCTTAGGGTAATATTAGGGAGAAATCATTCACTCTTTCACCAAAGTATTATGTTAGCTTCAGGGTTTTTGTAGGTGTTCTTTATCGTGTTGAGGAAATTTCCTTCTATTACTAGTTTGCATAGAGCTTTTATCAGGAATTGGTGCTGGCTTTTGTCAAATTCGTCTTCTGTATCTATTGAGATGGTCATGTGGTTTTGCTTTTCTGATCTGAGAAGATGGTGAATTGTAATACATTTTTTGCTTTCTAAATGTTTGTTATACTAAACTTTTATTCCTGAAACAAACTCCACTTGGTCACATTGTCCCTTTTGTATATTGTTGGATCAGATTTTCTAAAATGTTAACTTTTTTTGGTTCTATGTTTATGGGAGATATTGAATAGTAGCTTCCTTTTCTTGTAAAGGCTTTGTTTTTGATATCAGAGTAATGCTAGCCTCATAGACTAATTAGAGAACGAGTCTCACCTCTTCAGTTTTCGGGATGAGTTGTAGACTTGTTATTATTATTTTTTTAAATATTTCATAGAATTTCCCAATAAAGCTGTCTGGACCAAAAGATGTCTTTGTGGTAAGGTTTCAAAGTGTGAAGTTAATTTCTTTAAATAATGTCAGGCTATTGAGATTTTCTGTGTCTTCTTGGTTGAACCTTGATAGTTTGTGTCTTTCAAGGAATTCATTCATTTCATTTAGGTTGTTGGATTTAGCAGCATAAAAATGTTCATTATCGTTCCTCATTTTTATAACTATAGAATCTTTATTAATTTTGCCACTCTCATTTCTGATATTGATTATGTAAGTATTTGCTCTCTTTCTGCCTTCGACCCTCTCTTTTATTTGCTGAAGAACCTGGCTAAAGGTTTACCTATTTTATTGATATTCCCAGTGAGTCAGCTTTTGATTTCATTGATTTTCTCTATTGTTTTTCTATTTTATAGATTTCAACTCTGGCCTCTATTATATCCTTTCTTTGTATTTTGGTGTGTGTTTGCTCTTGTTTTTCTAGTTTTTTAAGGTGGACTCTGAAGTCGTTGATTTATTTCTTTTCTAATGTAAAAGAAATCATAATGCTATAAATTTCCCTCTAATTACTGCTTTAGCTGCATCCCTTGAATTCTGATATATTGTGTCTTGATTTTCATGCAGCTCAAAATATTTTCCCATTTGATTTCTTCCTTGACCCATGTTTTTTAAAGAATGTTGTTATCTAGTTTCCATTTTTTTTCTCTTCAAACGTTGATTATCTTTAAAAGTGACTTAGGCGATGAGAAAAGTCTGTATATTTACCCGTGTTGTTGCTATTCTTGGGGCTCTTCACTCATTTTGATGAATCTAGATTTCCATGTAGCATCATTTTTCTTCTCTACGAAAGACTTCCTTTTACATTTCTTGTAGAATAGGTCTGTTGGAGAGGAATTATTTCAGCTTTTATATAGCTCAAAAAGCCTTGGTATCTTTTTTGTTTTTGGAAGATATTTTCTCTGGGTAAAGTATTATAGTTTGACAGGTTATTTCATTCTTCATTTTCTAATATTAAAAAGCTACTATTCTACTGTGTTCTTCTGGCTTTGAAGAGATATTTGCTTTCATTTTTATAATATCTTTGTTCCTCTGTAATTAATGTGTCCTTTTTTCCTGCTTGTGTGATTTTCTATTTATCAGTTGTTTAGCAGGTTAATTCTGATATGCTTTGCTATAATTGCCTTAATATTTATTGTTCTTAGGGTTTTTGAGCTTCTCATATCTACCGATTTATAGTATTCATCAATCATATAAAAGTTTTGGAAATTATTTCTTCAAATATATTTTTTATCCCTCTGCTTTCTCCTCTACTTCAGAGACCCCCAATTATACTTATAGCAATTATTTGAGGTAGTTTCACAGCTCTCTCTGATGCTCTATTGTCCCCAGTATTATTTCTATTATGTTTCATTTTGGATCATTTTTATTGCTGTTTATTCAAGTTCACCAATCTTTCCTTCGGTAATATCTGCTCTGACATTAATTAAGTTTATATATCTAGAACTTCATTGTGTTCTTTTTTATTTTTCAAATCTTTTTTAGCATGTTCAATCCTTCTAGTTTCTTGAACATATGGAATACAGTTAACTTTAAATGTCACTGTCTACTAATTCTACCATCTGTGTCATTTCTGTGTCAGTTTTGATTAATTGTCTTCTTCCCTTAATATGTATATTTACCTCCTTTTTTGTCTGCCTGGTAATTTTTGTTGGGAAGACAGACATTGTGAATTTTATTTTACTGGATGCTGGATATTTCTCTATTTCGATAGTCTTGAGCTTTGTTCTTGGACATGTACTTGAAAACAGAATAATCTTTCTGGGCTTTCTTTAAAGATTTAATAGGTGGAATATTGCAGCAGTGCTTAATCTAGGGCTATTTCCATTACTTAGGTAAGTACTCAGTTGAATACCTGAAGGGACACTCTGCAAATCTCTATAGTTCTTCTTTTGTGAAGCTCTGCCTTCTTTGGTACTCTCTTCTGCAAATTCAAGCTGCCTTGGTCTCCTTAGACTCTCAGCTCTGTCTCTTCAACTCAAGGAGATGATCAAAATTGACTCAGATTCCCACTCCTCGTACTGGGGCTTGGAAACACTCTCAAAGCAGCAAGATGAGCCAACAATAGGGCTCCCCTTGTTTTTCGTCCATCTCTCAGGGATCACTGCATTTCATTGTCTGATGTCAAATATCTTGGTAATTGTTATTTCATGTATTTTGTTCACTGTTTTCAGTGTTTCAGTCCAGAGGGCAAATCCAGTCTCGGTTATTCCATCTTAGACCAAAGTAGAAGTTTTCTATCCTTTGCTTTTGAAAATCTCCTTTCTCTTAGTTCCTGTGACATTATTTCCTCTTGATTATTCCCTTGTTTTTTGTTATTACCCTTCTTCCACTCACCCCATAATCAATATGTCTCTATTCTTATCTCTATATTTTCCCCTCTTAAGGCTCATCCACCATTGTGGGTCCAGGTACCATCCCATCTGTATACCTATATCCTATCTACTGCTGCCTGAAAGGATTTCCATTTGAACGTCTTGCTCTCATTTTAGTTCAACAGCTTGGTGTATTGCAAGGTGCACTTTTTAAGGTGTCAAAATGCCTGGATTCTAGTCCATGCTGTGCCACTAAATACCTAGTTAGGTAACCTTAGAGAGAAATAACTTATATATTCTTGGCTTCAATTTACTAACTTATGAAGTGAATACCCTCTTTAGAAAAATTATAGTCTTTTTTTTTACATTAACACCCTTTAATTCTAAGTAACTCTGATTAAAACTGTTAAGTTTTCATTACCTTACCCACTTTCTGTCTCTGAAAACTAGCTGCCTTTACCTCAAATTTGCATTAATGCTATAGCCTAACAAACTTCATTTCTTTCTTCCCACTCTGTTGGATATTACTGCCAGATATTCTTCCTTAAATACTTTAATCAACTCAGATCCCTGTGCAAGAAATTTCAATAGCTCTTTATTGCTTGACACATTAAGCATCAACCCTTCTGTTTTACTTTTAGGACACTTATTCCATGTTTCTGTATAATTTTCTATCCCACTACTCACCTACATGAATATTCAGCCTCATTCTGGACCGGTTTTTTCCTATCGTCCATCCTACTATTTCTGCCCCCATTCCTACTGTTCTTCTAGCTTAGTGTACCTTCTTCTCCATCCATCCAAGTCCTATCTATCTCTCAAGAACTAACTGAAGCCTCTCTTCTTCCATGAAGCTTTTGCTTAATGCTTCAGAATATGCAGATGTCTTTATTTTATACGTTCTTATTGTACTTCCTCAGGATACCTCATACTCTAACTGCTAAGTATCTATCTGATTATTTCATGCCTGATAAGTTTTTGGCTTCTCATATACAATTTAAGGTTCTTTGGGATGCAAATCATACCTTTTCCTTCTCTCGGTATCTTGCAAGCACATGGTGTTTATCAGTAAATACTCATCGACTAGTGAAAAGCCATTCAACTGAGGTTTAGCTCATTTCTTTGCTGAATTGTTGTGTGTGTGTATGTAAAAATGCTGTTTCCTAAGACAGTTTGAGACCGTGTTAGTCCATGTTATGCTGAAATTCACTTGTGCTTTCTGACCACTGCTCATTCCTAAGTTTTCAGAAGCAAATCCTTGATTAGTGAGTCTGAGCTGAGAATTTGGAATACAGACCTGTCTTGATGGCAGGAGCTGTGCTTGCATCACTTCACTCATTCCTTAGTGAATTTGGCAGCTCCTTCTTGGTAAATCTGTAAGTGAGTCATTGTGATAAAGAAGGAGAGAAAAGCTCAGAGCTCTAGACCTTGATGGCTTAGGAATAAGCATCCCTCTATAGAAAAGGAAGAGAGAAAGATGACACAACCATGTCATGATACCTCTAGGATGAGCAATCAGATACTGGTCAAAATCTGAAGAACCAGACAGCTTTAAGGAAGGGCAGAGAAAAAATTTTGTCAGCAGACTTTCTTGGAAATGAAAGTGTGCTAAATAAAGGAAAGGAAGCAGGGAACTGTGAAAGGATTTCACAGAAGCGAACGTCTTGAATTTGTTTTGAGTAACTTAGTATGCGGTATGAATAGTATTTTAAGGCTTCTGAAATCACACTTTGCCCTGTTCAACTCAGAATTCATTCTTAGGCTTCTGAAGTAGTGAAATGGAAACAACGCAGCTTCTTGGTTTTACGTACATGTGGTTGGAATAAATGCATCCCCCTCCCCGCACCTTTGCAACCATTGCCCCTTTCCCTACCAAAAGAAAATGCTCACGGTTTTGCCCTTCTTTCTTCTTCATTTACTTGCCCCACCAAATTGGCTTTAGTAAACAGACTATAATCCACAAAGCTGTTTGTTGTGCATAGGAACCACAAGTTTCACCCACAATCAGGTGTTTCACAGCCAGCTACAAGGAGAAAAATAATCAAAGGCATGACAATTGAATTGCTAGAAGATACTGGTCATCTCTTTTTTTCACAGATGCTTCATTAGTGAGTTCACTGAACTGACCCCTACAGAAAGCTTTATCTAGTGGAATGACTGGGCATCATGAGACTAAGGCCCTAACTGACTATTTGACTTTGAGCAACCCACTTAACCTCTGTGCTTTAGGTGTCTCATCTGTAAACTTAGAGGACTGAACTATACATTCTCTGAGATACCATCCAGGATTGACAAATGGTTTGTGACCACTCTGCTGCCTCTAGTGCTCCTGATATTTATCTCTGCCTTCATGTTCTATCTACTCTTGGATTCTGAGGAAACTCTTCTTTTCTCACTTCCTAGACAAATTCTTGGTTTTATTGCCTGGCTCTTCTTTTTGTTAGTTTATTTTTTCTTGATGGTTGAAAACTGTAAATGGGTTAAATGTTCCTCAGTTCAGAAGTCAAAAAGAGCCCTGACAAACACAGTGTTTAGTTTAATTTTTCCCTTTTGAACTTCTTTTATGAAACATGGAATTAGTTACCAGCATTTAAAAATCAAGAGATCACACATTAAATATCTAGATTTTTAACTTTTCTGAATGAATCATAAAATCAAGAAACAAAAGGTACTCATTTCTTAAGGGATCAGCTAGAGGAGTGATACCCTCTTTTAGCCTGAGCTCTCCAGTTTACACCCCCCATTTCTCCCCTCTCATTGTCTTCCTGGCACTGAGGCCAAATGTAGTTGCCATTTATTATTATGCCTTGTGTTGCTGGTTCACTCTTTATGTGTGGCATGGGCTCCTCCAGTTTACTACAACCCCTACCACTTCTTATGACATTGAGGATGAATGTCAGTTACTGTTTATTAGCACACTTACATTGTCGTATTCGTATGCCATATTTGAAATGAAACTGATATATTATACCTGCATCTCTATCAAAAGTAAGAAAACGTATTAAACTAAAAGAGCCGAGCGTTTCATTTGTCCAACTCAATGTGCAGTTTTCTTTTCCCTTCCTGACTTCATTTGTGTTTGTAACCTCTACTCTAAGTTGAATATATTCGCAATACATTCCACCTTCACAAAAGACATTTACCCCAGAGTCTCTGTTTTTTCTCTTTGCATCCCCTTCTTATGCCTGCCTGTTCCACGTAAAGTAGTTGGGGGAATTTGTTGGTGGCCTGTAATAGAAGAAGCCAGCTAGAAGATTTAAAGTTTTATAGTAAAAAGGAAAGTACTAACCTGGTATTGATTCAAGACAGAACATTTGTTTGAACTCGCTTAAATCTGACACATCACTTCCAAAGGGACCATGGAGAAATATTGCAGATTTGCTGCAAAGGCAGAAAAAGTGCTTTAATAGCATTCTAGTCATAGCTTTGCACCATGGGAGTTTCTGTTCCCAGTTGTCACAGCTGAAGTATGCTGATTTTCCGTGACATTTTTTGGGTCTGTTTCCCTGGAACACACATTTAAAGAGTTTAAGAAAGTACAATACCTATACAGATGCTTCCTTCTAATAGTGATCTTGACATAGTTGCTAACTTTTTTTTGCATCAAAGTCACCTAGGTGATGCATATTCCAAGGCCTCATCCTCAGAAATTCTGATTGCGCAGGTCAGGGTGGAGTATATATGTCTGCATATGTCAGTGGAGGTGCTGATCCAGGTGATCAGTGGCTCACACTTTAAGAAACGATCATCTATGAAGGGCTAGCCATGCTGCCTCAGCATGGAAAGGCAAACCTTGCCTTTTTCTTTATCTAGACAAACATTTAAAAAATTTCTCAGTAACTCACTTTAGGGTCACACACTCAAAAAAAGAGTCAGAAACCAGATTAACACAATACTACTACAATTTAAGAACTTCAACAAGAAAATAAAAACCCTAAACATAGACCAGAGCTTCTTATCCCCATTTTCTGGCCACTAATAGGCATAGATCAGAAAAAAGCATCACTTACTTTTATTCATATTACACAACTCCAACACATAAAGGTGTCTAAAGGACAAGGATGTGGGGAAATCACACTCCAAACCTCAAATGAACTATTTTCCCATTTACAAATGCCGGGCAAATACGACAACACAATCCCTGTGATGTTATTTCTTCCGGTGTGGGTGTTCTTTAAGTGAATGAAGTAGCTTGCCTCTCTTTCCAGGACATGCTTTGCTTTTCTCTGAACAAAGTTCAGAAGTTGGTAGCAGCTTGTGCTTGGAAAATTTAGCTGCTTGAGGTAGTAGATGGAGGCTATGCATTCTAAGTGCTTATTAACAATATAGGTTCAGGAGGCAGAGCAAGATTGTGGAAGAGAAGGCTCTACCAATTGTCCTCCCCCTACAAGGACAGCAGTTTAACAACCGTCTACACAAAAAGCACCTTTATAAGAACCAAAATACATTGCTCCCAGCACTTTGGGAGGCCGAGACGGGAGGATCACGAGGTCAGGAGATCGAGACCATCCTGGCTAACATGGTGAAACTCCGTCTCTACTAAAAATAAAAAAAAAAAAAAATAGCCAGGCGAGGTGGCGGGCGCCTGTAGTCTCAGCTACTCGAGAGGCTGAGGCAGGAGAATGGCGTAAACCTGGGAGGCGGAGCTTGCAGTGAGCCGACATCTGGCCACTGCCCTCCAGCCTGGGCAACAGAGCGAGACTCTGTCTCAAAAAAAAAAGAACCAAAATACAGGTGACCACTAACACTCCTTGGTTTTAACTTCATATCACTGGAAGAGGCACTAAATAGGCAGGGAAAAAGTCTTGAATCACCAACAAAACCCCTCCTTCACCTCCCAGCAGCAGTGGCATAGTGAAGAGAATGTTTTTGTCCCCTGGGGAGAGGGAGAATTCAGCAACTGTGAGGCAATGAACTCAGTGCTATCCTGTTATTGCAGAAAGAAAGAACATACCTAACTCAGCCGACCCTCCGCATGGAGGGAGCATTTAAACCACCCCTAGCCAGAGGGAAATCTCTGGTCCCAACAGTTGGAACTTGAGTTCCTGTAACACTTGCCACCATGGGCCAAAGTGCTTCAGGGATCTTAATAAACTTGAAAGGAAGTCCAAGCCACAATGACTGCAACTTCTAGGCAAGTCCTAGAGCTGAACTGGGCTCCGAGCCTATATTAGTCTGTTCTCACATTGCTATAAAGTAATATCTCAAACTGGATCATTAGTAAAGAAAAGTGGTTTCATTGATTCATGGTTCCACAAGCTGTACAGAAAGCATGGTACTGGCCTCTGTTGAGATTCTGGGGAGGCCTCAGGAAATATACAATATGGTGGGAGGTGAAGTGGGAGCAGGCACTTCACATGGCCAGAGCAGGAGGAAGAGAGAGTAAGGGGAGAGGTGTCACACACTTTTAAATTACCAAATCTCATAAGAATGAACTCACTATCATGAGGACAGTACAAGGGGACGGTACTAAACCAGTCATGAGAAACCACCCCTATAATCCAACCACCTCCCACCATGCCCCCCTCCAACACTGGGGATTACATATTGACATGTGACTTGGTGGGAAAACATTTAAACTACATCAGTGCCAGAGAACTGGGGGATATGTAATCTACTGAGACACCAACTGAAGTGACTAAGGGAGTGATGGTGTCACCTCTACCCTAACCCCAAGCTGCAGAGCTTGCAGCTGCAAAAGAGACTCCTTCCATCTGCTTGAGGAGAGGAGAGGACAGAATGGGGAAGACTTTGTCCTGCATCTTGGATAGCAGCTCAACCACAGCAAGATAGAACACCAGTCAGAGTCTCGAAGCCCCCCTTTCCAGGCCCTAGTTTCCAGATGACATTTCTAGATATATGCTGGGGCAGAAGGATACCTGCTTCTTTGAAGGGAAGGACCTTGTTCTGGCAGACTTTATTACCTGCTAACTGAAGAGCCCTGTGGCCGTGAATAATCAGCAGTGATACCCAGATACTACATTGAGGACCTTGGGTAAGATACACAGACTTGCTGGCTTCAGATGAGACTCTGCACATCCCCAGATGTGATAGCTATGAGGCAAGACTTCTGCTGGAGAAAAGCAAAGGCAAAGGTAAAGTGGACTTTGTCTTATACCTAAGGAACCAGCTCAGCCACAGGAGAGTAAAGCACCAAGTGGGCTCTTGGGGTCCCTGATTCCAGGACTTGACCCTTGGACAGCAGTTCTGGACCTTGCCTGAACTCAAGGGAAGCCCAGTGCTCTGAAGGATGAGTCCCAGGCCAGGCAGAATTCACCACAAGCTGACTGAAGAGGCCTTGGACCTCAAGGAAACATTGGTGGTAGTCTGGTAGTACTCCCTGTGGGCCTGTGGTGGCAGTAACCATGGAGTGAGGCTCCTCTACCTTTGGAAATGGTAGCAGAGAGTAGGAAGGGCTTCATCTTGTAGTTTGAGTGCCACTTCAGCCACGATATACTAGAACACCAGGTAGACTACTAAGGTTTTTGACTGCAGTCCCTGGCTCCTGGATGGCAACTCTTGACCTACCTGGGACCTGGAGGCACTCATCACCCTGAAGGGAAGGATACAAGCCTTACTGCCTTTACCATCTGCTGATTGTACAGCCCCAGGGCCTTGAGTGAACACAAGTGGTAGGCAAAGAGTGGTTATAGCAAGCCTTGTATGAGACACAGGGCTGTGATGGCCTCGGATCTGACCCAGCACAGTCCTAGTAGTGATGGCCACAAAGGTGCTTGTGTTACTCTACCCCCAGCTCCAGGAAGCTCAGAACAGACAGAGAGACTCTGTTTGGGAGAAAGTGAGAGAAAAGAACAATAGTTTCTGCCTGCTAAACCCAATAATTCTTCCAAATTTTGTCTGAGCATGAAAGCAGTACCTTGGTGAGACTACAGGAACACCAGTATTACTAGGCTGCAGGTGCCCCCTAAAGCAATTACAGCTTAAGTGATAACACGAAAGTCCTTTTGAATTTCTGGAAAGCTTTCCCAAGAAAGATGGGTATAAACAAGCCCAGACTGCAAAGAGTAAAATCAATATGTAACTCTTCAATGACTAGAAACTAACAAATATCCACAAGCATCAAGACCATCCATCGAAACATGGCCTCATAGAACAAACTAAATAAGGCACCAAAGACTGATTCTAAAAAGATGGAGATATGTGACCTTTCAGACAGATAATTCAAAATAGCTGTGTTGAGGAAACTCAAAGAAATTCCAGGTAACACAGAGAAGGAATTCAGAATCTAGATAAATTTAACGAAAAAATTGAAATAATTGAAAAGAGTCAAACAGAAATTCTGGAGTTGAAAAAATGCAATTGCCATACTGAAGAATGCATTATAGTCTATTAATAGCAGGATTAATCAAGCAGAAGAAAGAATTAGTGAGTGTGGAGACAGGCTATTTGAAAATGAACGGTCAGCAGGGATAAAAGAAAAAAAGAATTAAAAAAAATGAAGCACATCTACAAGATTAGAAAAATAGTCTCAAAAGGACAAATATAAAATTATTGACCTTATGAAGTAGGTAGAGAAAGAGATGGGGTAGAATGTTTATTCAAAGGGATAATATCAGAGGCATTCCCAAACCTTGAGAAGTATATCAATATGCAAGTACAAAAAGATGATAGAACACCAAGCAGATTTAACCTAAAGAAGACTAACTCAAGGCATTTAATATTCAAACTCCCAAAGGTAAAACATAAAGAAAAGATTCTAAAAGCAGCAGGAGAAAAGGGACAAATAAGATACAATGGAGCTTCAGTATGTCTGGCGGCAAACTTTTCAGTGGGAACCTTACAGGAAATCTTTCCATGGAGGAAGTGGCATGACATATTTAAAGTGCTGAAGGAAAAATATTTCAGCCTAGAATAGTATATCCAGTGAAAGTATCCTTTAAAAATGAGGAGAAATAAAGACTTTCCCAGACAAACAAAAGCTGAGGGATATCAACAACAGCAGATGTTTCCTATAAGAAATGCTAAAGGGCGTTTTTCAGTCTGAAAGAAAAGGATAATAATGAGCAAGAAGCAATTGTCTGAACGTATAAAACTGACTGTTAATTGTAAGTGCACAGAGAAACACAGAATATTATAACACTGTATCTGTGGTGTGTAAACTACTACTAAGTAGAAAGACCAAACCAGGGAACAATCAAAATAGTAACTACAACTTTTTAAGACATAAGCAGTACAATAAAAACAAATAGAAACAACCAAAAGTTAAAAAGCTTGGAGACAAAGTTAAGGTGTAGAATTTTTATTAGTTTTATTTTTTGCTTAATTTATTTATTCAGTGTTAAGTTGTCATCAGTTTAAAATAATGGGTTATAAGGTGTTATTTGCAAGCCTCATGGTAACCT